TAATATGTATTTTTTGATGAAGGGGTAAACTGTCCATTTAAAAAGGTAGATTCCAGCTTGACAACTTTTTAACCACATTTTCTACAAGGATTCAGTATTTATCCCACAAAGTTGTATTCCTTGTATTAACAATATTTAGGCTTTCATATTGGGAAAACACAGTAACGCTGTATTTTGCAGGTATCTATAGTTTCCTAATGATTTTCTTGAAAGTTTTTCTTCAGATATTTCTGTTTGTACTTTGTACATGATGCACTTACCTGCATTGTGCATGGATTTTGTCAAGGTTTTTAAACGTTAGGAGTGCACAATCCGGGAACTCTTACGCAGCGTCCACATGGCGGCGTGCGTTGAAGCTTGCCGGTGGGTATGTCTGAAACTCGACCAGCAACCAATCACATGAATCTCCCGCCCCGGACACACAAGCACGCAGTTTGATTGGCTAGAGCTTGTACTGGCATATGATTTGATTGGCTGACGCTTCCGTCGAAGCTTCAAAAGTAGAACATTGCTCAACTTTTGAAGCGAGCAACGCGAAGCGACGCGACCACAATGCAGTTCGGCAAAGCGTGACGTCACCCCATTCAAAGTGAATGGGAAGAAGCGTTGAAGCTTCAACGCACGCCGCCGTGTGGACGGGCCGTTAGTGTGCTTCATTTTGACACTTCTCAGTTGGAATTTTTAAACACTCAAAATTGCAAGAGTAAGAACGGATTTCTTTGTTTTTTATGTTTTTTTTATTTAGAAGAAATCCAAGTAATAATAAAAAATTGAGACATTCATGAACTTTAGTATCTCTAAAGTCCTGGCTACACCCCTGATTTATTGAATGATGTGGCCACATGACTTTGAAGAGTATAGCAATTTCCTTTGAGATATTCTCAAATAAACAATCATTCCAAAACAACTTACATTCTCACCAAGCCCTTACTAAACCTTCTAATGTCCAGTGTTTATATGCAACATTATTATTATTCACTGGTTTCCTGATTGTCTGCACTTGCCTCAGTAGATATTAGAGGGAGAAGGAGGGAGTCCCTCAGAAATGTTGTACAGTCACTTATTCTTTCTGAAGGGATTACAGTGCGCTCCCTCATTCCCATTGGCCTGGCCCACGGTGACAGTGGTGTGGTGATGAGTGTCTGCCATGCCCAGCATCCTCCATAACAAGCTTCCAACTTGGTCCTGTGTGACTCCTATTCACGCAGCCAGGCTTTGCTTTCTATGTACTTTCCTGTCACACTTTGTGCAAATGCTTGAGTCAATCTGGAATTACAGTTTGTATTATTTTTGAAAAGAGACAGAGAAACATTTGACCACTTTTCCTTTTACGCACACAAGGAGCATGCGCTTCTTGGAGAGGTGACTTTATCCAAAGTCCAGCTGGTACATATTTTATTTTTTTATAATTAATGTGCCAGCTTCTGAGATGGCAAAACCTTTAGATCACATCAAAAGACCCATGAATGCGTTCATGGTGTGGTCCAGAGGCCAGAGGAGGAAAATGGCCCAGGAGAACCCAAAGATGCACAACTCAGAGATCAGTAAGAGACTGGGCGCGGAGTGGAAGCTGCTCTCCGACTCGGAGAAGCGCCCTTACATCGACGAGGCCAAGAGGCTGCGGGCTCAGCACATGAAGGAGCACCCGGACTACAAGTACCGACCCCGGCGCAAACCCAAGAGCCTCCTGAAGAGGGACCGCTTCGTTTTCCCGTCTTTGCTCGGGGACGCAGAGCATTTGAAGGGATTTTCCATGGACTCCTTCCTTATCCCCGGGGATAAAACCAGAGCTTTCTTCGCTCCCGTCTCCTCCTCCTCCCCTTCTTCCTTCTCGCTGCTGGAGCCCGTGGCGCAGTTCAGCACCGGAGCTGTCCAGCGCATGGCGCATGAGATCCCGCACGCTCTGGCGGCCGGCGCTCTGCCCTACAGCGCGCACAGCTTCGGATACCAGACTGCCGGAGGGCTCGGGGCTCTGGCCTGCCACGGACAGCACTCCCACAGCCACCCGTCCCCCTCCGGCCCCGGGTACGTGGTGCCGTGTAACTGTAGCGCCTGGTCCGCAGCCGGGTTACAGCCGCAGGTCGCCTACATCCTCTTCCCTGGAGGAGTGCCCAAGGTCGGCATGGACTCGTACACTTCCCCCAGCTCCAGTGTGTGACGCGCGGGCACAACATGGGGGAAAGTTTGCACATACAGGAACTCTCCATTAAATATGAGAAAATAACCAGAACAATACATGTTTCTATCCTGAACATATCACAACCAAATAAGATATGGATATAATAGCCTATTGTTTCCATAGATGTTATTTCAAAATGTCAGAAATGCTGCATACTGAGAACCAAAAACACTTACAGTCTCCATTCGCGTTACCAGGTTAATGCACAGTAAAGATTTTTGTTAAATATGTTATTTTGTTACTCTTTTGAGAAATGCAACTTCAAAATAAAATTCACAGGCACACTTTCTATATAACTGATAACAAATCCACACTGCAGTCACTTCAATTAAAAGCTGATGAGAATGTATTGTTCTTTTTACCCAGGCATAAAAAACACTTCACTTCTAAATAATAATAATAATAATAATGAGACATTTAACTTGGAGGCACCTGTGAAAACAGCAACATATTATTATTCATAGGCTACATTAATTCATTTGGACAGTAACACTTGTTTGTACTTCGTCTGTATTTAGTTTTTCTTTTGAAAATAATAAATGGTAACAAAAAACATAAATGGATTTGGTTTTTACTTTTTCAGAAGTGTAAAGAATGTCTTAGCATTTTATATTAGCAGATGCATCAGATGCTGTTCAATGAACCAAATGTAGGGAAGTGAAATACTTTCATTGACATTTCCGTTTGTATTTTGGAGGATTCACATTGCTTTTTTGTTAGAAGTTCTACTGATTATCAATGTGTTATTTCTTTTATAAGATGTCATGTTTTGTCACATCAGTTGTGATAATAGGTTTGTTTTCATGTTCTGACCATGCAGCTCTTACTTCAACAGGCTGATTGATAACAACACGAAAGTCAAAATGATTTAAATATAATGCAAAAAAACAGAAGTCCATGGAGTCGACAAACATAACAAGGTTACATTTAGTCCCATCATGCTGTATGAGTTTCGTTGTGTGTTTGAGAGAGCGAGCTCTTGATAAGAGAAGAATAGAAACTTCTCTCCTCCCCGTGTTGTTGACAGAGTGATAAGGAGAGAAGTTGAATCATGGAAATCGTATGAGCTGCTGTTTGTTTTCTAAATGAATAAGAAGGAAGTCACAACACTGAAAGCACTGAGCTCAGTCTCTGTATGACCACTCATAATCCTCAGACTGTATCTGAAGAATTATCAAACTAAGGACCTGACCACGGATACATCAGTATGTTTGGGTCATCATTTCGATATTAAATATTACACAACAGTCCTTGTATGGGCATGTATTCGGATGTTGTATTCAATGGTTCTTATAGGATGAAATGTCACAAGTGACCTTGAGCAAAACACCAAAATCTTTACTAATTCACAGGCAGGATGCAGCTGAAGTACGTTAGAGTGAAAAAGGTTTACTTTACTGCTCTCTCTTTTCGTTTTAAAGACACACCCGAGACCTCAAATCATCTTCGTAATATCTATCAAACTATAGATCCTACACATCCACTGGACCTGGATTCTAAAAGTACAATATACACTTCTCGCTAGAAATCTAATCAAAAAGCATTTTAATGGCCAAACTATTCTACAATTTAGGATTTTCCAGAGAGGGTTATTTGTGAATATACGACCCTCCGCTAAACTTTAAAACGTGACTATAGGTCGTAATAAGCTGCTGAACAATCGACCTATTTGGAGGAGGACAGGCTGGTATTATCAGAAGTAGTTTTCATCATGCAGATGATCATCACTGTCGGAGTATTTGCATTATTGTATCATTATTACTGACGTTTCATGTAAGAGCCGCTTTTATGTGACTTTTTTAAAACTTTTGGTAGTTTTACTTGTTATAATGTGTTATATTTGATACATTCATTATGTTTTCCATGTAAAATCTTAATTTGAAAAGGAACTAAAGCTGGTAATGAGACATCCCAAAATAAAGAATTCATATGTTTCCTACATGTATAGGTGTCAATGAGTAAGTGCACATTTTATTCTCCATGGGGATACGGTACAAAAAAATTTTTATTTTAAAGTTATGGAAAAAAACAATATACAAATTATAATAAAATAAATAAGATCTACAAAATAATTCTTACAACAAGCTCTGTGAATTATCTTGAGTAATGATTTCTGGAAAGAGACACTGCTGTTGAGTTTTTCACATGTATTTTTTCCTACATTTGCCCCCCACAAGCCGGGTGCCATCCAGTTTCATTATAATGGAGCGAAGGCAGACATCATCTCTATGGTCAATATGTCTAACACTCTATAACACACACCTAAACAAAACAGATTGTCAAATATGTCTGCAAGTGAGAGTAAAAACATTTCATTTTGATTTGTGATTGAACTCTTTATTTAAATTAATGTAATGAAGTAAAAAGTACAATATTCCCCTGTAAAATGTTCTAAAATACTCAAATGTTTACTTAAATACAGAACTTGAGTTAATGTACGCACTCAGCTCTGCCTCATGCATGATATTGTTGTTTGTGAGTGTGTTGTCATGGTTGTTCCCTCTCTCTCAGTGTTGGCGGTTGACCTGTGATTCAGTTTCCTGTGTTTAAATTCAAACAGTAAGTTCTCATTTGGGTGCCAGGTGCTCCTATCACCACTGTGTCCACACCTCAGCACAGGGCCCAACCCATACTGCTGCATCACCCACTGAAACCCAGCCACCTCCACCCAGCACCACACTCTGCCCTCTCCATTCTCCGCCTGCACACCGCCGGCACCTCACGTTTACATTTGCAGCTCAAGTTTAAATCTTGATCTATTTAATCTGGGCTCAAAGCATCCTGCCAGTTTATTCCCTAACTTCTAAAGGAGGAGACAACGATGGCGCCTTCAGTTCTGCAGAATGGGGGGTTTATTCTGGGTTTGGTTGGAGCAGCAGCCCTCATCGCAGCGACCGCCATGAACAACTGGAGCGTGAAGGACAGGCAGGGGGACGTGGTGACGTCCGTCTACACCTACAAGGGTCTGTGGAAGGACTGTGAGACGACGTCCGCTGGGTTAACTGAGTGCCGTCCGCTCTACGGCCTGCTGGGATTCTCAGGTAGGAAGACTCTCAATTTTATATTTAATATGCAGAGATTCTCCAGGAAGTAACTGTTTGAATTAAAACTAGTTCAGTTCATTGCTTTTCTATTAATTAAACAAATGTGACAAAAAAAAGTCTCCTTTATCTGTCTTTTGAGGTAAATTAAAGCAGTTCCATTTCAACCTTTATAAAGGCTGCTGTGGCTCAGGGGGGAATTGGGTGTCTGCCAATCAGAGGGCCAGTGGTTTGATCCCCAGTCCATGCAGTCAACTTGCTGAAGTGCCTTTGAGCAAGATACTTAACCACCAAATTGCTCCCGTGTACGGCATTTCTACGGTTTTAAAGTGTATGTAAGTTGGTTTAGATAAAAGGGTCAGATAAATGACATGTAATGAAGTGAAGATGCTGATTGGAGGACCCGGGATCAAATCTGGCCTGGGACCATTTGCCGCATGTCACTCCCTCTGCCTCCCCCTTTCAACTCTCACTATAATAAGGGGTTCAAAAAAAGATGCAGAGCTTCCCTGATTCAAACTCCAATGCGTAACTCAGATAAAGGAAGTTGTTCCCAAACAGTCAAGAACTGGGATAATAGGGAAGTTCTCTGAATACGTTCAAGATCCTTAATATTAGAGGAAAAAAAAGGGAAAAAAAAGGCATTAGTTTTTGGATACCCCTATCGAACAAGTGTTTTTTTAGTCCTTTCACATGCCAAGTTTTCAAAAGGGCGTTACTAGTTTTGGACCCAAACAGTCAAGAGCTGGCGTAACAAGGAAGTTCCCTCACTACTTTCAAGATTGTAATATAAGAGGATCAAACCCCGTAAAAAGGCTTTTGTTTGTGGATATCCCTACCCGAGGTAGAACAAAGCACAACCATGTTTTTTGCAATGTAATATATGTCGTTTTTCAAAGGGCGTTATTAGTTTTTATCAAAGGGTTATTTGAGTCTGGTTCAGTTACAGAGTTTCCATGATGACACGTGTGAGCAACATAAAAGGCCATCTCTTCTCTCGTTGGGTCCACAGTGGGAAATTAGCCATTTTCTTCCCACCGACTAAATGGTTCACATTTTACAGACACATCTCAGGCCTGATATTAGTTTCTGGATAATGCCAATATTTTTCTGGTTTGTATTACTTCCTCTCTGTTTGTGCTAGAAGTGATCGAGTCAGTAGTGGAAGAAGTATTTATTAAAGTAAAAGTACTAATACCACACTATAAAAAATACTCTAAAAGTACGATAAAACACAATGAGGATCCTAGGATTCCAAAATTATTAGTTTTCCTCCACGGGCCAAACGGCTAGTAATTGATCAAATGTTACAGTCTCCCCAGCAGTGCTTTCTCCTAGGGTCAACGTTAATGCAAATCTATCAGCTACTCTTACTCTGTTGGATTTGAAACATGCAGAACTATTTTCTCTAAATAGGAGGTACAAGAAAGAAAAGAAGCACGATTTGGTGTCTCATATAAAAAAATATCCAAACATGAACATTGAAGCAAATGTCATGGTAAAGAAAATATATTGTCCCATCAACATCATCCTTAAAGGTCCCATGTTTTGGCCATTTCTACTAATCATAATTCCATTGTTGAGGTCTACTAGAATAGATTTACATTGTTCAATGTTCCAAACTCACATTGGTTTCTCATACAGCATCTCTGTATAGTATGTGTATTCACTCTCTGTCCTAAACGGCTTGTTGGAGCTCCTGCCCCCCCCCCTCCCTATGAGCCCAGTGTGCTCTGATTGGTCAGCTCGCCCACTCTGTTCTGATGAGTCTACCACCGTTACAGCTGAACATCAGAGTTTATGTTTTACAATGGCGTTTGTTAGCAACCAGAAAATGACACCAGTAATGACAAACAGATGAGAATGCTGCGTGGGGGGCGGACTCGTGAGCTCCGTAATGTCCCGCCAACATGGCACTTAGTCTATATCCAGCATCCAGGGAAACACAGCGGGAAATCCACCTCACACTGTCCGCTCCGGGGCGGACTCCTGAGCTGCTCGGGAGTCCACCCTGGCAGAGGGTGTGCCTATTGTTCTATAGCTGTGTGCCAATTGGTCCAGACTTAGTGACGTCAATAGGCCCCGGAAGAAAAAAATTGAAAAAGAAAAATCTCCAACGAGGCGTTCTGGGGCAGCATAGACAGGTCTTTTCTGTGTTAGAGTTTTACTCCCTACAGGGTGTACTTTGAGGGTTTGTGACTTTGCAGACCGTTTAGATGCAGAAAAAGCTACATAACACACAAGGGGACGGGTAATAACCAGAAAAGCTTATGATGGGACCTTTAAGGCTAGATTGTTAGGGGTAGAACAAGGAATGGAATGGTTTTCTAAAACTGATGAGCAGTTTTTTTCAGTTCAAGGAAGAAAATAATAGTCATTTTTCTTGCTAAGATGCTAAAAATATTAAAGGTGGGGTAGGTAAGTTTGAAAAACCGGCTCGAGATACACTTTTTGTTATATTCCATGGAATGCTCTTAACATCCCGATAGCAATGAATATCTTAAGTGCTTTGACAATAAATACATAAAAAATGTCATCTGTGGAAGCCGTAATACTGTAAAAAGCACGACCAATCATTTTAGCCGGCCCGGCTAAAATAACTGGATGGCCTACCTGCCTGTCAGCCTTCCATCTGTGCACAAACTTATCTCGTGCCCTCATTGGTCATGTGCGCGTTCGTGTGTGTTGGAGGAGGGGCTCTGTAAGGAAGTGGCAGATTTTCTCCGGCTGTGTATTTTCAAATTCTACGCACTCGAGCTGGTTTCTCAGAAATTACCTACCCCACCTTTAATCAAATTATTCTGAAAAGGGAAGCTGAAAGTAAAAGCCATCTCCTTATAGCTATTTCAAATGTAAAGGTCCCCTATTATACTATTTTTCAACAATATATTATAGGTCTCAGATATACAAAAAAAAGTGCCATATACCCCTCTGTTTCAAAAGTGCTGAATCTTTAAATGCTAATGAGCTGAGAAGTGATCGGTTTATAAAAAAACACAATGGTGCTCTAGGAGGATATTCAGGTGATAAGGTGGGGGGGGGGGGGGGGGTGTTACCTTGGTTGGTGATTGGCTAATGGTTACACAACCCAGAAAAACATTGTGACATCACAAAGTGGCCAAAATCTGTTCAGCTGATTTTCAGACCGGTTTTTATATAAATGGATCAGGACAAAAAGAGAGAATCTTTGTGCCGGAAACGTTCTGAATTCTTCACACAGCGGGGACACATTTTTTTTAAACTGGTGATATGTTAAAACACTTTTCTTCATTGTCCTCAAACTGTTGTTCCGGCATCCAGCCCGCTCCTATCAGTGTTTGCATTAGCACCGGTGCATTCTGGTCACTACAATGAGAGCCAGGCCGAGTCAACACAGTTATCAGAAACAGACCAAACAGCAAGCACTGTGGGAGAGGGCAGAATAAATACATCTGTCACCAACACAGACTACCAATGATTATGATTTACGTCTTACAATATGAGGTTTTAAATCCAAGGTCTAATTGTCAGCTGCATTTCTTTGTCTCTTTGTGATGCAGAATATTATGCAGTGTGGAGCTTTTGGTTGGAGTAAGAAGTATTAGACTTAACATGATATCTATTTCCTGTCCAATAGGAACCTTCCAGGCGGTGCGGGCCCTGATGATAGTGGGGGTGGTGCTGGGGGTCCTGGGGGCCGTGATATCAATGTTCTCTCTCACCTGCCTCTCGATGACCAGCATGGCCGACACCACCAAGGCCAAGATGAGCCTCACCGCCGGCATCATGTTCATCATCGGCGGTATGGCTACAAATAAAACAATATCAGAATGTTCCTTTAAAGTGTGTTTCTCAGAGGAATACTTCACCCGTAAATACATGATTTGTCTATCAGTTACTCACCCAGTGTTGCCTTTAGTTCTTGAAGACATTTTCTTGCATTTCTCCATGGTGAACGAAGAATCAAAATACAATTTAAAAAACCATAACGGGTTCTTGTGTTTAGAAGTCAATCAATCAATCAAAGTTTATTTATATAGCCCAATATCACACATTTTACATTTGTCTCAGTGGACTTTACAGTGTGTACAGAATATCAATACGACACCCTCTGTCCTTGGACCCTCACATCGGACAAGGAAACACTTCCAAAGAAAACCCCCAGGTAAAGGGGAAAATGGAAGAAACCTTGAGGAGAGCAACAGAGGAGGGGTCCCTCTCCCAGGACGGACAGACGTGCAATAGATGCTGTGTGTAAATTAAAAAGATAATACATTTGCAACATAGGTCGTCCAAAAGCTTGAAAATGTATGTGTCTAAAAATAAGAAGTTGAATCCAGGAGGATGTCAACAATCCTGTGGGAGCCATCAGAGAGGTAGTGAGGTGAGTCAGGCAGGACCACAGGGACAGGTTCGGCTAGGACTCAGGATCCACGACTCAGGATCCGCGACTCAGGATCCGCGACTCAGGATCCGCGACTCAGGATCCGCGACTCAGGATCCGCGACTCAGGATCCACGACTCAGGATCCACGACTCAGGATTCACGACTCACTCAAGTGTCACTTAACAGCACCAAAGGGCTCCAGAAGTTCTGAACCAAATGATCATGTCTTGCCGTGATACCGGGTTGCATGTAGTATATATATTTCCTTGTCCATCTTCTTTTTAATAAAAGAGCTGAGAACACTTTGTTTTAGTGTTAAAAAAACACTGTACTTGAGTATTTTTAAATGTGGTATTAGTGCTTTTATTTGTCTAAATACTTCATTAAGAGCGGTGGAGTATAATCCAAGACTGATTTATCCACTCATAGGCTCAATACTATAATAAATAATAGTAAGTGGTGAGCACATTGTGTATAAGTGAGGCTTTGAATTGGTCATTAGAGAGGGGAAGTCTTCCTTTAAGCCGACACATTAACAGTTTCTATGAAGTAAATGACTTCCTGTCCCTCCATGCTCTTCTCTCAGGTGTGTGTGGCATCGCAGGAGCCTCCATCTACGCCAATCAGATCGTGGCCAGCTTCAGGCTCTCCACCAACCACAACTACGGAGGCAACATGGAAGGAGGGATGGGTGGAGGGATGGGGGGAGGGATGGGGGGAGGAATGGGAGGGATTCCCAGGTATGATGATTATATTGCTTGTTTTTTCATATTATCCATATTATTCCCGTGCTAGACTAAGTTCATGTTGTTTGTCTCCACAGATACACATTTGGCCCCGCGCTGTTTATAGGCTGGATCGGAGGGGGCGTCCTGGTTATTGGGGGCATCCTGAAGTCCGTGGCCTTCAAGGGAATGGTGAAAGATGAAAAACCACAGTGAGTCCCCCACAGATTGATCATCTACAGGTGCCTTTTGAATACATTTGGTTTGAGTGTGTGCTTTTGCTTGGACAAACAACAACAATGTTCTCTTGTTCCTCAGTTACCCGGGGGTAGCTTACAAACCTCAGCCCCGCACCAAAAGCGATCTGCCGGATCACCATTCAGAGGGAGCCAAGAATTATGTGTAACTTCTACCCTTCAAGCACCAACATGTTATGTTTGCTGTTAGCTGTTTACATGCAGCATTGTTGTGGGATTTTATTTTTCTAGATGCCTTTTATGTGCATGAAAATATGTCTTGATTAGAGTCAATATGTCTTGTGTTGTAACAGCAGTTCAAAAGCCATCCCGCCAGTTCAAATTAAAATAATAAAACCATGAAAAAAAGGTATTTTTTAGGTGCTGGATACAAAACTCTATAGCAACAAGAAGTCTGCACACTCTTTGAAAAGCTTCCAGCTAATTTAATTGTGAAGATCTTTTGTAAGATTTTCACATCTTAAAAGTCATTTTCACAAGAATGTCTCCATGGTTTCTATATTTTTACAAATGCTGAATGTAATTGAAGACTTTTTTTACTTGAGTGTTGTTAAATCATTTGATTTGTATAATAATAAAAGACTAATTTGTGAATGATGTGGTTTGAATGATTGTATCCTATAAATGAAGTTCATTTACCTGATTATGAACTTGTAATTGATGTTTTATTTATTCAAGACCTATGTTCAATAAGAGTAACAGATCTAAAGACAGCATGCAGTTATTGATGATCAAAAAGCACTGTTCCTGTCAACATGCAGGAGCTACACTGCTGCCCTTTGCTTTACAGACTGCTAACTGTATACAAAATAACAGCAGAAGCTACAGATGGTAAATTGATGTACAATCTTTTTTAATAGATCAAGTATTTTCACTCTGAATCATATGTTTTTTTGGTTCCTCTCGATTTCAGAGAATAACCGATCAAGAAATGCAGGGCCAAGTACAAGCTTCTCATTTTAAAAAGGGAAACACATTTTACTCCCAAATATGTACCCCAGTCAATATGTATACAAATATGTTCATGTAGAATTTAACTTGTTAATATATATATATATATATATATATATACACTTATATCACGACATGCTTATAAGGGTTAAATCATTAGTTTGACCAACCCTCACAGGGTGTCCAGCTGTCCCAGCTGAGCTGCAGTACTGTGTCAGACCACTAGATGACAGCAGATTCATGTGTTTGATTTTAACTCAGATTGTGAGATCAACTGCACTGGATAGAAAACATGTGTTAACATATTTTTATTTTTCCATTTAGGGATGTCAAGATATAAGATTTATTCACGGATTGTGATTTTTTTTTAAAACCATCAAAATAAGTAGATTGCGGTGAACTTTCATTATTGGAATCATCCTAAATATACTTCCATAAAACTCAAAATCATGGTAGAGAAGTTCAAAATAGAGGCTGATGAATTATCATGCAAGATATAACGGGGGCTTTATGATAACCTGATGTTTTTCACTGAAAAGGACTTCAAAAATATCAAAATGTTTGTCACTCATCTTAAATAATGGCATATCTAAGTGCCATTGGAAGACTTTTAAGCATATTTTGATGATCATAAGGGAAGGACGATCAAATATTAAATGTTCATATAATTTCATGCTTGATTTCCACTATACAAAAAAAAGAATCTTTAGACAGAGATCCATCGGAGACTTTGTTTATTGTTGCATATTTAAACCTCACTCGCTCCAAAACAAGCATCAATATATGAGTCCAGTTTCTCTCCAGAGCAGAAGATGCTGAACACAACAAACATCAGAGCTCACATCCCAACACTGGTTTACTGTGAGCCCGTCACCAACGGGTGCTGCAGCAGAACATCTGCCACGGAGAGCAACTAGGATCAAATCGGACTACAAATCCCATCAGTCACAACGTTGAACCTTGTAAAAAAATAATCATACAAGAATATCAGACAGAAAGGGGGGGGGTGTAAACTCCCACAGACAGACAACTAAACACTAATATGCATTAGGTTTTTTTACTCTCTTTGATCCATGATCTATCTGTAATCTTCATTATTATTTGAGTGTGCCGCCCATCTGGGCTCTGTGATGAAGTCTTTCCTCACTGTCGCATAAGTTATTTGGTAGAATCCAGACATGAAATTCAGGATTTTCATACAAAAACAAAACAGTCATATAGTGATTTAACAACAAGCCAGAAGGGCAAGTTGTGTACAAATTGGTAAATAATTCAAGGGTCGGTTCACCCAAAGTATTAACATTAAAAAAAAATCTCAGTAGCCCATTGCAGTCTCTAGCCATGCAGATAGTTTTGGTTTCATGTGCTTTGAGATTTACGTCACAACCTAATATGTGAAAATGCAAGAGTGTCTTTGTTTGGGATACTCAAAATATGTTTTATATTTAATGTATGGAAGAGTCAGAATTCTGAGAAAAGTCAGATGGATTTTTTGCCCTTTTTAGAATTCTGACCGACTTTTGTTCAGAAATAAAAAATAAAAATACACATTTGGCCCTTGTCCTCTTCCATATAATTGGGATCACTCTTCAGAAGAAAACAGTTCAAATTAGAATGTTTGACAGTGTGTTCGGGGCTCTATCCACAATGACAAGGATCATTGTTGATGAATATTTGAAATGTAATTTCCAGTGCTGTGAACACTACAAACTGCATTTACCTGAGGCAGAGACTTAAATCTCAGGCACATAAAACTGAATATCTGCATGGCTACACACCACTGGAGGTATTTTCATTTGGGTGAATCGACCCTTTAGGTAAAGACTCAAAACTAAACGGTTCTATATCTGTTCTAATTTCTCACTGAGGAACTCCTCCACGCTGTCTGTGTTCCACTTGAGGATGCTGAGCTCTTCAGCCATGTTCCCGTTGTCGTCCAAAAGCTTTAGCACAGGATCCGAGCCTCTGACGTACTGCATTGTGGGAAACAAAAGGAGGACCGGTGTTAGGTTTGTACTAATGGAAAACATTCTTAGAAATAGGATATGATGGACATAATCGGATTTTCTCTTTGAAATTGCATTTTCTTTCCACTCAAATGAAGCGTAATGTGTGTTGTTGTGAGATTATGACATCATGCTGGTACACAATCCATCAGGCTTACCTTGATCTGAAGACCCTTGAACATCTTGGGCTTGTCACTCCTGACAAAAGCTGAGGAGATGAGAACAGAGAGACATGTGTCAGTCAATTAGCCTCTTCATTCTAGAACTGAGGTTTGTGATTAGCGACAACTGCTAACCCTCCTGGGAATGTGCCGTTAACAGCGGCAGAGACAGTTGAGAACACAGAAGGCTACAGCTGACGCAAACAAACGGCAGCCATATGGCACAGACTCCAGACAGACAACGTCGCCACCCCCCCCCCCCCCCCCACCACACTGAGGGGAGCGTCAGGGACTCCATCTATGAAACCTGACACCGCATTAACCAAACGTTACACCAAGCGGGGAGGTCTACTCCCAACACACAGGATCTCAAAACTTCAAAAGCCTGTTTGAAAACCGGACTGTCACAAACAGGATAGAACGGAATATACACAAGGGCAGATGGTGCGTTTAGGACCTCGGATGTTCCTTTTTCCACTATTGGAAAGATGCTTGAGTTGTTTTGTGTAGCCATGCAGATATGTTCGCGGAGCCAAATCCCTGGTGGTGGTCCTAATTGAATGCTTCAGAAGGTTACTATTAACAGAGTGAACTAAGAAGGAAGTACCTCAGTGGCTGCCATGATAAGAGCTGTTCAAAATGATAGAAAAGAGCCTCAGGGTTTCATTTGTTATCAGCTTTAGCTCAGGATACACTGGATAAATACTTTACTAAAGGAAAGGAGATAATAATTGATTGCAGACGCACCATTTGACGTTCTTTCGGGAGGTTAAGGCAAAAGTGGCCAGAAAATAGACACAAGATCAGATTTCTTTGACAATTCAGCTACTCATTGCCTCCTGGAATGGGAAATATCTAAAATGTCCTAGCGGAAGACTTACCTTGGACTTGGGGGAACCTCCCCAATTTTCATCCACACACCTCCAGGATGGCCCCAGGGTAGAGCTGTGTGCAGAAAGACACAACGTTAGACACACACACACACACACACACACACGGTGGCAGGTCGCCTGGCAGAGTAAATTTGATTCATAAAAAGGTGTCCAGGAGGCTCCTCGGGGGTCATTAAACTGTGAGGCTGTGCATATGGAGCAGGGCTGATGGATGGCCATTTGTGCAGCCTCACTTGTAATCAAAGCTCCAGCACCAATACACAATAAGTTAGAGGAAATTGGAATGTCACAGCAGTTTTCCAAGAGCATGGTCTGCTGGCCGTCTCAGGGAGGAGGGTGGTAAATGGCCTGGTTGGCCGGTCCACGCGGCAAATTAAATTACGCATGCAAAGCTCAGATCCTTCCTCTGTCTTTCTGTAAACAATCCAGCAGTGGTGAGATTTAATTTCCGTGCTTTTCATTTTAGCACGCATGGCAGATCTGAGACAAGTCACGACTGTGTTGAGAGCAGGAAACTGGGGGACAAATAATGGACCGCCGCTCTAACTGGGCCCTGTGGGAGGGTTTCAGGAAGGCTTTCCTATCTTAGAGAACGCTGAATTGTGACCCCCAGGGATGCTGAGGGGCTGCTATATGCCAGGTGCTCTGCAGAGAAGCTCACATTTGAAAAACTAGTAACTGAAATGCCATCCATGCTCAGTGAATCTCACTAATCGACAAGGCTGCGAGATACGCCATTTCTCAGAGGGTTTAATGACACGGCACTGATGTCTATTGCCAGACTGAAAGAATTCTTAAGGTGCATAATTGTTGCCGTCTGAGGATAAAATGTGCTTAGTGACACCGTCGTTTCTGCCGGTAACCCTTGGAGACGGCCGACTGCTCTTCTAAGTGACATTTTCCCCTCAAATGCTGAGGAGGAAGGGGAGTAATCTTTGGTGAAGTGTCTGTCTGAAACAGAGTTATCGTCAGGAGGTGTAATGAAGTGCGTGCTACACTTTCCCTAGGTGCTGTTGCTAGGATACCGCACACGCTCCTGGGGGCTTTGCTTAATCAAAGAAGAGTTACATTGTTTTTCCACCATCACTTGACTCCGTGTTTATCCGTCAGAGCCCAGCAGGTAGTCCTTTTTGAATTCGCTGTAATCATGAGCGTGCAGTAAAACCCCTCACCGGTTACTCTGAGGTTTTTACTGCTACACTTGATATTTCAACCCCAGTGGGGGTGTGAAGCTGGGGTGAAGGAGCTCTGACTCAGAGAAAAGGATTGAGACAGACAGAGTGTTTGTGTGGCAGCTCAGATCTGATGCACAGCGGCAAACAGTGTCAACAGACGCAGCGGCAGGAGGCCAACAACAGGTTGTTTTTAGTAGCAGTTCAAAGGCTGGGGGTTGGGATCCTGTCAAGAAATGTGTCACATTTTGACACAGGGGTCATGCCAATGTTACTACTGTTCACCGAGGAGACTGTGAAGCTCAGTAAATGACTCGAGACCAGGGCTGTCACAATCTCAGATTTTCACCAAATTCATGATGACATTATTGCCATTTTCATCCATAACAACATTTAAGAATAATAATGCTTCAAGTCCACATGTTGTCTGTTATACTGCAACTCAATTAAAATATATGAATCTGAGGAGGTGGAAACAGTGTATTTGACCATAACTGTACAAAAGTTGACAAGAAACCATTTGTGTGATAGTTTAAGAGGTGCTGGATTACTCTGCAATATTATCATATAATGGGTTTCTTTTTATTCAGATAATGTTTGCCTTTAAAAAGGGGCCCTATTCTGCTCATTTTCAGATTTATATTATTATGTAGTGTCTCTACTGGGACATGTCTCCCTGCTTTAATGTTCAAAAAGCTCTTTATTCTTCTCATACTGGCTGTGCTGCAGCACCTCTTTCCACCCTCTGTCTGAAACCAGAGCCCAGTCTGCTCTGATTGGTTAGCTTGACGACATCTCATATTTTATATTTAAATATCACGGTTAGCGCTAATACCGGTAAACTCAACACCCCAACTAGCAGAGAGTATACAGACCAGCTGAGGACATCAAAATGAAAAAACAACATGCTGACTGCAGTGGGACTCGAACTTGCTATCCTCTGATTCGAAGATCAGCGCCTTAATCCACTGCGCCACACGCCTTCCCACTGAAACTCCTTTTTTTTTTAACAAGGTCTTTGTAACGCGCTCCTCGCTGTGACTAAATCTAGCCAGCTAATTACTCCCCCCGGAGCGCTGTTCCCCCCTTTACCTTGCGCGCTTCCATCTGGGCCTCCTGCTGGCAGCACTGCCGGCAGTCGGGCTGGAGCGTGGTGAGGCTGAACTCCCCGAGCAGATCACAGGAGCTGCACAGCAGGTTGCTGGAGAACCCCAGCTCCCTGCACGCCTCAGACGACAGGTCAGCTCCGTAGGCCGACAGCTGGGGACAGGAAGGAGAGGATGAGCGTCACACAGAGAGGACAAAATACAAGGCCAAGTTTTAATAAGTACTTAATTTTTATAAGCAGATGTGAGAGGATTAAAAAAAGGGAGAGCTGCAGGCCAAAAACAGCTGTTTCCCTTTTAAAGAAATTGAGCGTTTTGACAAATATTCACTTTCTTGAACATACAGTACGTGTATAAATAATCTCTCAGTGGAAAGCGTTTGGTCACTTATGGCGCGTTTCCACTACAGCGCGGAGCACGGTTTAAGAGGGCTGTGACGTCAGCGGCCCGTCTTTGGTTGCGTTTCCACTTGGCCTAGTACCGGCCGGCGGGTCCTAATTCACAGTTTTTCTGGCCTCATAAAATCGCGGGTCTAGGGCCAGAGACAACGAGGCTGAGTCGGGCTGAGTATGCTAAACTAGAAAGAGCTTCGCTGGCAAGGGGGCTACAACTACAACAAGATGGACATATTTGACCGTGATTTAATTGTAATACACGTTTCAAAATGATGCCGAAGTAACAACATACTGATACCGGTTAGTAAAAACCATGAATTAATGCTTTGTCAAGTCTGCAGACAGACGGCAGGCGAAAAACCTTTTAAAATGCGTGTGTTCTAAATGGAGATTGGCTAAGCTAACGCAGTATATGCTCCGACCGTCCACACTCACAACAACGGCCTATACAGACATAAATAAAGCAGCGACTGTATTCGCCATGACACAGGCAGTCTGTGGTTTGTACTTGTTTAACTTTTGTCTAGTTTCTGAACATATATGAGGAGCTGTGAGCTGTGAGTGCTAACAGCTAACGGCTGTGTTGTTTTTCTGGGGTTCTCATTGAAGATGACGTCACGGCTCCGCCTACACTGCGTTACTATAGATACTACCCCAGTTCCTAAACTGTAATGGGAATGCGCCATAAAGTGAGCCAGTCCTAACGAGGCCGTGTAGTGGAAATGCGCCATTAGCGACACCTTTGTAGTGGGACTATTTATCCAGTGCACGAGAACGAGTTACTTTGCAGTGATCAAATCAATCAATCAAAGTTTATTTATACAGCCCAATATCACACATTTTACAATTGTCTCAGTGGACTTTACAGTCTGTACAGAATATGACACCCTCTGTCCTTGGACCCTTACATCGGAAAAGGAAAAACTTCCAAGGAAACCCCCCAGTTCATGGGGGAAAACATTGAAGATTGATCTTATAGTTACATCAGATGTTCCTAAAAGAATATTGATTGTTATTTAGCCTTTACTTATTGCACAGTAAGGAGATTGATGGAACTCTTCTTATATGCATAGTAATGAATATTATTATATTTTATTTCTGCTTATTACTACACCCTGAACCTTTAGTGATAACGCTTTGCAGCTAAATGCTGAGAGAGCTTTCTGGTAAGAATGTAGGTAAACGGGTTATTTCCGTTGATGTGTTCATCCTCTTTTGTGTAACAACAATCTAAACGGTTGTAACTAATATCCCTGTGCGTATTGAATAACAGAGGACTCAACTTATGTTGTGTTAGTCGGTATTTCCTTGAAAGGCATGTGTGGCGGCTCAATCCCCAGTTGCGTTTGAGTCGCCGAGAGGCTAAACTTGGCTATAAACTGTGACGCGTTTTCGAAGAGAAAGTCCATAGTGAAGCAAGATAGTTTTTGGGATATTTAAATCAAATCAAATCAAGGTTTATTTATAAAGCACATTTAAAAGCGATTTTTGGTCGGGCCAAAGTGCTGTACATGTAATAACTACAATCACATAAAAACACATTTCTATAATCACAATAAAAGACAATAAATTACAACAGATATTTTTTTTAAAAACACAGGGAAAAGTCAGGAGTCGTGCTCCGCTCTGACTAAAAGGCCAGGGAGAAGAAGTGTGTCTTAAGAGTAGATTTAAAAACCCCTAGGGTCTGGGTCGACCTCACATGGAGGGGCAGAGTGTTCCAGAGCCTCGGGCCAGCTGCTGCGAAGGCTCGGTGCCCTCGGGTTTTGAGCCTGGTCTTGGGCACTATCAGCAACAGCTGGTCAGCAGACCTTAAAGCTCTGGCTGGGGTGTAGCGCTGGAGGAGTTCAGCTATATAGGCCAGAGCCAGCCCATTTAGTGCTTTAAAAACAAATAAAAGGAGTTGAAAATCAATTCGGAACCGAATTGGAAGCCAGTGCAGTGAGGCCAGAATTGGGGTGATCTGGTCACGCTTTGTGTGGCCAGTGAGTAGACCTGCAGCTGCGTTTTGGACTAGCTGCAGGCGTTTAATTGACGCCTGGTCCATACCGACGTACAGAGCGTTGCAGTAGTCCAACCTCGAGGTAACAAAGGCATTAATAACCCTTTCCAGGTCCTCAAACGATACAAATTTAATAAACAAAATCATAACATAGTAACTATGGACAAAACGGTCAACAGAAAAAATGACAGCACAAGCTCACCCTCTGTCATCCGCACTCGACATGAAACAGGTGACTTAAATAGACAAACCACACCCATGTGACAATTACCGGAAGAGCTCAACAAACAAATAAAAGTGACGTAAACAAATAATAATAATACAAATAATGAACTTGGGCTAAGTAGCATTATGGCACCTACAGCATGCTAATTAAGACTACCAAGCAGCTGTTACATGATCCGTTTTCACTTTCAAGATGCTGGAAACCAGTTTCCTTTCAGGTTTGATTACCTGATATTTAAAAAAAATCCCCTTTTTAATAATGCTAACTTTATTTGTATAGCATCTTGCACATTTAAAACGAAGGTCAAGTATGAGAAAGTACCACCTTTTTTTGGTGGGCAGCTTTTGCCTCCTACATTTTAAGGGGAGGATCAATTAATGGATTGCCATAATCTTCCATAAAATAAGATCACAGAATAGCCTGTGATACTGTCCTTTTTTGGCATATTCCTATTTTTCCCACTTTTTAGTCGGAAACTAATAAATGCCAACTCACAAACAGACTTGTTTATGTATTCTGTGTAGTTTGAGGTTATGTTTAACAGGGTTTTTAATACATTAGGCTATATTTGCTGGGAAATAGTCCAACGTGATATTTATTTCGCATGAATAGATTTCTCTTTACAGTTCTGCAAAGCTTAAACTGGGAATCATATTGATGTTATAACTACTTGTATTAGGGACTAATTTTACTAAGCAGGGAGCAGATTCTGACCAGCATACGTACATTTAGAACACCGGAAGTGTGGTTTACAGCTGCCTTTCTCTTGTAAAAACCCACGTATCGTTACAGCAGCCGGGTAATACATGTATGGTTGATTAAAGTAAGTTAAAATAACAGTAAGCTGATAAATATGGAGACTAATGATGCTTAATTATCAGAATGAGATTTTGAGGATAGCCACGTCATTATGAAGCTCCGGGCTCAGCAGGATGCGCGGCTCACAAACTGAACATTACGTTACACAGTTGTCAGCTTTGATTACAAATTATATAACTACTTTCTTAAAGCGGCGACAACTGCACATGTTAAATGTTAATACACTAACCGTTTGTAAAAGCGACATAAGCCACAGGAGATACACCTCTCCCGACATTTTCGAGCCTTTTACTGCTTTGTTAGCATAAAGGAAAAGCTACACTAAGGACCCCTTCATTTACCGAAGGGCTGCCCATCGCGCCTGATAAACATGAGTCAAAGTGCATTACAAAAAAATACTAACATATACAAATCATTTAAACCAGAGCCAATAGACAATACAATGTACAATAAAAAGACAATAGATGCTTTAACAATACAATATAATACAACTACATAGAACAATAAGAATTACAAAAGTAATACGAAATATAACAATAAGAGGAATGTCTTCAATTACACCCAGAATTAAATGAAAACCTTTAGATTTTCCGTAAGAAGTATTATACGATCCTGCAAGTTTAATATTTTAAGAAATTGAATAATTTAAAAGAATATCAGGCATATTCTAAGGCCAACTCAGTATTTCTTCTTCGGCTGTGTTGTTCTCATGGGTAAAAAATAACTGCGACATCTGCTGTCCGCGTGCAGGTCAGTATGTGAAAACCGTCCAATCCGGTTTAAACGAGCGGAGACTGTCAGCCAATAGGAAGCCTCGGCTCTTTGGTGGACTGTTTACACACCCAATGGCCTGAGCGGTAGTGGTCTGGCCGCGGTGCGGTGGTGGACACACACTCCACGGGACGGGACAGCGCTACATGGGGAACTCAGGCGACAGCGGCTGGTACCACAGTGACACCCCGGAGATATCAATCCGCGATTTGGAGATATCTCTAGGGCGCTAGCCTACGACGCTCCGCTATTGGGAACCGACTTAATGAAATAAACAAGCCGAGCATGAACACATCGCATTTGAGGTAACGAGAGGATTTGAACACTGGGAGATATCCACAGTAGCAGGGAGAGAGGGCCATGCTCACACACTCAGCCGCTTTGTAATCACCGTCGTCGTTGTTTGTGTGTTTACAGTATCTCCTTCTCTGAGCAATGGACTGACCAATTCCCTCTCTGGATGATTTGATGGGGCTGCTCAGAGTCATGATGCCGCCCAAGTTGCAGCTCATCGCGTTGCTGGCGTTCGCAGTGGCCATGTTCTTCCTAGAAAACCAGATTCAGAAGCTGGAGGAGTCCCGCGGGAAGCTCGGTAAGTTCAAGGGGCTGCAGCCTCAATCCCATCCCGTCACAACACTCCAGCATCACCGCAGGCTGGGTGTGAGGTCTCCCTCTTGGGTCACTGTGTGTATACTGTGTGTATGAGCATCACCATTGTGCATTTGGGTCAGTGTGCTGAGAGAGCAGTTTGGACAATGGTACACAGTCATGACATGTTTAATGATCTAGGAGCTGTCCTGTTGAACTTTGCATGGTCATTTAGTAGAAATGGAATGCTACACATACTAGACTCGAGTATCTCTCATCCTTATGTGTAATGCAGTGTGAGATTGAGTGGGTGCTGCTACCTTCTGCCTGTTGCCCTGTGACAGTGTGTTTCGCATTCTTTTAATCTGACGATTTTTTTCTGGATGTGACCAATGGTTTGGTTTCTGCAATGTCAGAAAAACAGAAATTGCCACACAGCCCGAGATGAGGTCTTTGTATATCTTCTGTACAAGCAGCAGTCCAAAACCCGACATTATTTAAGTAAAAATATGTAAATACAATGAAAAGCAGCACATCCTGATAATTAAAAAAGCTTGAACTGGATGATCTTGATTATTTCTGTTTTAAAATAACCCCTTTTCAAATAAGTTGTACATCATTTCCTGTCATTGACATAAATTGATCAATCCAACAACCAACCAACAGTTCAGTTGAAAGTATAAGACATGCACAATTGAAGCTGGTGGTTCTGGGAATAAAATAAACCTCTTTCTGCTCAGAGTAAGTTTTAGTGATGAATACATTGCATGGGGACGCTACCCTGCTGCAAATCCTCTCCTGTCCCTTTACCAAACTCTCTCCTGTGATTAAAACGTGATTGTCACTGTGTTCAAATCTCATTGTGAGCTCCCATCAGGGGCTCCCTCCCAATAAAGATCTGGGACATTGCAGGATTTACTCTCTGGTGCCTCCACTGTGGGGATTTTCTAAGCAACAGCAGAGCGGTGCAGACAATCTGAAGCGAGCAGCCAGCGATCCTCAGGGGGTCAAACACCAATTCCTGTATCTTATGATGAGCTGGAGCCTGGCATGAAAAGAGGCAGCTAACAGGCTATTTTCACGGCAGACATTTTGCAGGAAGAGCTTAGGTATAATCAATAACATAAAAAAAAAATAGCTGCAGTGATTCCATGTAGGTGAGGCAAACCAAGGCCTTGAGTTGTGCGTGCTGCTTGCTCATTCAGATGGCTTACAGGGACACTTAATGGAACAGAGAAATCGTTAATTTTACTAGCAGCACCTGTGCCAGGACCATGTCTGCTGTGAAAGAACACCTATTACATTTTAACTGTTGTGTATTTTAAATTCCCTGCACACATTCAGGTGTCATTCTGAATAATTAGACTCAGCCACGATCATGAATTTAGGTTGATTAACTGGCACACAAATAATTGCAATTTATAAGGTTTTTCTTCTTTTTTTAAATAATTTGATACTACAATACCTACTGTTGTGTTTGCACATTCAACCTTAAAGGTGGGGTAGGTAAGTTTGAGAAACCGAAAAAAAAATCCCCTTTTTAATAATGCTAACTTTATTTGTATAGCATCTTGCACATTTAAAACGAAGGTCAAGTATGAGAAAGTACCACCTTTTTTTGGTGGGCCGCTTTTGCCTCCTACATTTTAAGGGGAGGATCAATTAATGGATTGCCATAATCTTCCATAAAATAAGATCACAGAATAGCCTTAAAGGTGGGGTAGGTAAGTTTGAGAAACCGGCTCGAGATACACTTTTTGTTATATTCCATGGAATGCTCTTAACATCCCGATAGCAATGAATATCTTAAGTGCTTTGACAAAAAATCCATAAAGAAATGTCATCTGTGGAAGCCGTAGTACTGTAAAAAGTACGACCAATCATTTTAGCCGGCCCGGCTAAAATAACTGGATGGCCTACCTGCCTGTCAGCCTTCCATCTGTGCACAAACTTATCTCGTGCCCTCATTGGTCATGTGCGCGTTCGTGTGTGTTGGAGGAGGGGCTCTGTAAGGAAGTGGCAGATTTTCTCCGGTTGTGTATTTTCAAATTCTAGCGATCTCGAGCCGGTTTCTCCAAAATGACCTACCCCACCTTTAATCCATATCATTTCATTGGCTACTCATCAACATGATGCCATCAATGACAAAATAGTGTTAATCTTCCAAATAGTTTGCTATGTAACAATGCTTGATTTCTTGCTTTTCTGCACACAACTGTTGAGTAGGGCCAATATGCCAAAAAAAGTGGTCTAAAAATATGAATTAACTTTGTTTGGATCTTGGAGAACTGGATTTATTTAGACAAATTATAACTGTACATTAACTTCTGCTGAGACTCTCGGCTATAAATCAATGGCACCTCTTTGTCATAATCTTGCTTTGTTACCAACAAATATGATCTCCAATGAGCTGAAACTGAAAAACCTCTCCAGCAGATTTATTTATTGTTTTTTTTCCTGATAAAGAGTGCTGCAGGGACGACATATAGTAGGCCGAGCTAGAGGCCAATAGGCGCTTTCACACCGGAGTACTTTTCCCAAAAATAGTTCCGATAGTTCCTGGGATTTTGCGTTCACACCAAAAAGTTCTGGAACTAGAACTTTTTTTCGGGAACCTTTTCACCCCTTTTCAGTCCCTGCTAGAGAGGTGGTACTTTCCTGGGGAGGAAAAGGTTCCAATTTATGATTGGTTGGGCGAATTGCAAACACAACTAAGTAAACAAAAAGATGAAAAGCAGTCACTACATTGTGCACATTTGGGACATTAAGGTACACCACTTATTACTGCTAGAGCAGCTGGTGGTAAGGACCTCAGACAACTTCAATTTAAAACAGGCTATAGGGACAAGTGCCATCAGTTTGAGGCTTGATTGAATAACATTAATTAAAAAATAAATCATACTATCAAAATACTACAACGAATGAAAATAATCTTGAGATAATTGAAACTGTGGTTTAAATAAGTTCTAATAGGCTATTGTTGTTTTTAGATTTAGAAACGAAAACATTTTTTAAATGTATTTCTGGCGTTGCTAATTACGACCTTACTACCCGCGAACGTTGCAAGCAAGCTAAATAAAGAAAACCTATAGAACACACTACATGAAAGGGAAAACCCCAAAAAGCATAACAGGGCCTCTTTAAACATGAATTAAATTGCCAGAAATTAAAAAGCTATCATTCACAATTCATTCCTCTGAGCTTCTCAAATTTGCCATTGCTGCTTTTCTTAGTTTCCCATGTTTGCTTTACTGCGGCTAACAGGTAGGTGAGTAGACGGACATTTCAGATGAGTCAAAGATGATGCTATGATGGGAAGTTTCCATTCCAGACAGCAAATAAAACAGTTAACCATCATCTTAATTGTATAAAGTATCCCAGCTGAATTTCCACATGTTGGAACAATCAGGAGTCCGGAGGGTAATGATGGCTATATTGGTCTGTGGCATGGTCTACTGCTGTTGTAAAGGGCTATACTTTACACGCTGGGAAAACACACACACTCTCCTGATGGTGAAAGAGAACCTGAGAGGCCTTTCCCCTCAAGGCCCACCACCACGAGAATCTGTTGACTTGGCACAAAGCGCTGATGGATGACTGGTCCGAGCAGACGTCTGTATACTGGAGCTCTGAATTATGTGCTGCATAGCCAAATAGTTGTGACTGAGGCTTTCACTGGCAGGATGCTGTCAGCATGCCAGAGCCGGTCACATTACCAGGTACGCCTGCTGGATGTCCATATGTGCAACAATTAAAGCCAGCGTCACAATCACAACAAGGACAGGTGTTGTCCAAACCCAAATCGCATCTCCATGAGTGATTTTTACGTGATTAAAAAACGAAAGAAGCTCTACATGCGCCATCCTGCATCCACATGATCACAATTGCCTCTGTGTGGGTGGGAATGACCAGTACGTTCTCCTCACAGCGTGGGTTCCTAGTATTACCTGACTCAGGTTGAATCATTCCCCCCATTAGAAACCTCCCGTAGGGCCGACAAGCTGTGATTTGCTTCCAAGCTAATCTTCGCCCCAAGTTTCCATGAGAAGTCTCCTGCATTACAATCATGCCGGGATGCAGTTTGGTTTCCTGCTGCGGACTTAATTCCTTTTTTTTAGCAGTCTTTCTCTCCTGCTGCACACCGGTTATTGGGTCAACAGTAACGCAGACTGATTTTGCAGGGATGGATTGGGCATAAATAACAACGTTTCTTTAGTAAAGAGCCTCAAATGAGGATTCAGGGTCCCTTTCTCCAAAGGGCAATCCAGGCAATTTTAGACGCTCACCTTGAAGAGTTGTACACTATTATTTTGAAGGCTGAGACTAACATTATTGCCTTTCCTGCCTAATGATACGTACATTTTAACTGTTGATTATATCTTCTCAACAGAGAGCGACACATTGATAAGTCTATACTTTTTAAAGGCCCTATAAGCAGATGCTTTTTTGGAAGGAATTGTCACTAAAAGTATGTAACGGTCTTGTTGATTAATCTCTACTTGCCAAAAGAAAACATGTATCTTTGGCAGGTAAAATGTCAATCAAATTTGATTAGAGAATAAATTGAACCGATCAGTAGAATCAATAATGACTGGTGGGTATCAATGAATTCACATAAAATCCTTTCAAAAATCAATTGTTTTTGGAGTGAAAAGCTCAAATCTAACTCACAGCTGTGGAGACCTCATATATGTTCAGATTAAGCAAAAGGAAAATGCTAAATACCAGTATTCATATTTTGATACCAACGTCGTACCTTTCGCTAGGTGTTCCTAACAACATTTTTTTAATGATTCCTGTTTTCTGCCTCAGGACATTTTCATTACACAGTTGATTGCATTATTATTTGTGTAACATCTGTCCTTGCTACATGCGGTTTATAGATTCAAGCCATGCTGAATTTATTTCCTCAGGGGAATTATTCCTAAACACAAAGAAAACCCTTCTTTTCATGTACGAATCCCAGCTGCTAAGCAACTTTTTACCCTTTATTATGCTTTAAAA